ATAAAGACACATGGCACCACATGTATTTACCTTGCGGGCAGCTATTCAAACCAATAGCCAAACCTGCTCTGATCTTAGTTATTTCTTGCCTTCTGTTAGCTTTTGAATGTGTTTGCTCTTGCTTCTCTAGTTCTTTAAGTTGTGATGTTAGGGTGTCAATTTTAGATCTTTCCTGCTTTCTCTTGTGGGCATTTAGTGCTATCAGTTTCCCTCTACACAGTGCTTTAAATGTGTCTCAGAGATTCTGGTATGTTGTATCTTTGTTTTCATTGATTTCAAAGAACATCTTTATTTCTGCCTTCATTTCATTATGTACCCAGTAGTCACTCAGGAGCAGGTTGTTCAGTTTCCATGTAGTTGAGTGGTTTTGATTGAGTTTCTTCGTCCTGAGTTCTAGTTTGATTGCACTGTGTTCTGAGAGACAGTTTGTTATAATTTCTGTTCTTGTACATTTGCTGAGGAGTGCTTTACTTCCAACTATGTGGTCAATTTTGGAATAAGTGCGATGTGGTGCTGAGCAGAATGTATATTCTGTTGATTTGGGATGGAGAGTTCTGTAAATGTCTATTAGGTCTGCTTGGTGCAGAGTTGAGTTCAATTCCTGGATATCCTATTAACTTTCTGTCTCATTGATCTGTCTAATGTTGACAGTGCGGTGTTAAAGTCTCCCATTATTATTGTGTGGGAGTCTAAGTCTCTTTGTAAGTCTCTAAGGACTTGCTTTATGAATCTGGGTGCTCCTGTATTGGGTGCATATATATTTAGGATAGTTAGCTCTTCTTGTTGAATTGATCCCTTTACCATTATGTAATGGCCTTCTTTGTCTTTTTTGATCCTTGTTGGTTTAAAGTCTGTTTTATCAGAGACTAGGATTGCAACCCCTGCCTTTTTTTGTTTTCCATTTGCTTGGTAGATCTTCCTCCATCCCTTTATTTTGAGCCTATGTGTGTCTCTGCACGTGAGATGGGTCTCCTGAGTACAGCAAACTGACGGGTCTTGACTCTTTATCCAATTTGCCAGTCTGTGTCTTTTCATTGGACCATTTAGCCCATTTACATTTAAGGTTAATATTGTTATGTGTGAACTTGATCCTGTCATTATGATGTTAGCTGGTTATTTTGCTCATCAGTTGATGCAGTTTCTTCCTAGCATCGATGGTCTTTACATTTTGGCATGTTTTAGTATATGCAAATATTTAAAAAATGTTTTCAGTAATTATATTCAGGAATATAGTATTCATATTTTAGAACTGTTGCATGTGTAATGTCAGATAAAGCAAATGAATGTTTAGTGAATATTCTAATTTTAAATGTAATATAGAGGAGCTTAGGGAAAGTCGTTAGAGTCTTCTGTTTAAATTATATGTATGATGGATTCATGGTTAATCTATCTACCTATCTACCACCCATTTACCTATTTACCTGCTGGCTTTGTCCACTCAAAATTCCGATAACATTGACCATTCCAATAAATATCATCATTCCTAGGTTCAGATTGTTGTATTGCAATAATTTTTCTTGGTGTGAGAATCTAGGGCTTCTTGGAGAAATGACTGATTCCAGATTTAGAACAGGAAACCTGTAAGAGAAGCTAGAAACAGATGAATATGTTCAATTGCACCATGTGGATGAAATTAGCAAAACCGACATTATGGAAAACTCTACTGTCAAAATACCTGAGTTCTTCAACAAGTAGATTGGAAGAAAGTGAATGGGCTATACAGAGAATCTATCAATTAAAATAGACTTAAAGCATATGGAATTACAAAATGGACAACACTAAGTTATAATGCATAACGATTCAAACTAGGATGATTAAACTATTCAGGAAAGCAAGGCAGTAATTTCTTAAAGGTTGAGAATTGTAATTTCTGCTGATGATAGGAGCATTGCAATTGTAATGGAACACACAAATGGATTTATGTGACTGCTATCAAACTTCTGTTTCTTGATCTTGGTAGTGATTGCAATTATTATGAAGTGGTTCACCTTGTAACAGTCATACATCATGGAAGCAGACAGGGTGGCCGGTAAGAGTGGAGTTGGAGGCAGATGTCCAGTGTATTGAGAAAGAGTGCATGCTAGGGTGGGTTGGTTTTCATGTTTATTATTTGGTATTCATGACTGGATTTCATCTTCTTGAACATACACATTTATCTTTGTAAGATATATATTCTTCATGAAGTATTTGACATCAACCTTGTGTAGAAAGTAGTAGAGACAGGTTATGGAGTTGAGGAGCAGGAGAGGAATGTTTTTCAACCTGAAATGCCCTTAATCTTTTTAGAATAGAAGCAGTTGTTCTCCCTCTTTTGGTCTCTAGATTTCACAAGGAACAAGGGCTTAGAACTAAATGTTGATGAATTACTCTAGTGCCACTTAATTTTATCTCCTTGGTTTCCCTGGCTCTGAAGAACTACATTATATCCTTTTTGCTATATTCTTCTTTTTCTACTTGGTGACATTAATGGGAAACACCGTCATCGTCGTGATTGTCTGTGTGGATAAACGTCTGCAGTCCCCCATGTATTTCTTCCTCGGCCACCTGTCTGCCCTGGAGATCCTGGTCACAACCATAATCGTCCCCGGGATGCTTCTGGGATTGCTGCTCCCTGGGACGCAAACAGTATCTTTGTCTGCCTGTGTTGTCCAGCTCTTCCCATACCTTTATATGGGGACATTACTTGGAGCAATGGCTGTGGACTGTTATATTGCTGTGTGTAACCCTTTGAGGTGCAACATCATTATGAACAGACACACCTGCAACTTTGTGGTTCTTGTGTCATGGGTGTTTGGGTTTCTTTTTCAAATCTGGCCAGTCTACGTCACGCTTCAGCTTACTTACTACAAATCAAATGTGGTGAAAAATTTTTTCTGTGACCGAGGGCAATTGTTCAAACTATCCTGCAATAATACTCTTTTCACGGAGTTTATCCTCTTTTTAATGGCTGTTTTTGTTCTCTTTGCTTCTTTGATCCCTACAATTGTCTCGTACTTCTACATCATCTCCACCATTCTCAAGATCCCGTTAGCCTCTGGCCGGAGGAAATCCTTCTCCACTTGTGCCTCCCACTTCACCTGTGTTGTGATCGGCTACAGCAGCTGCTTGTTTCTCTACTTGAAACCCAAGCAAATGCAGGCAGCTGATTACAATCGGGTAGTTTCCTTGATGGTTTCAGTAGTAACTCCTTTCCTCAATCATTTCATCTTCACCCTCCGGAATGATAAAGTCATAGAGGCCCTTCGGGATGGCGTGAAATGCTGCTGTCAACTATTCAGGAATTAGCCTTGCTCTGAGACATTTTACATGATGAAGCACTTAGTATGGATTCTAGAATAATCTGAAAAGAACTTGCTCATCTTTGAACTGCATCATAATTATTACCATTATCAAATAATTAGTGTGCAACAAAAGACTTTTAAGTTACAGTTATGGTTTTTAATATGGTTAGTTGTTACTTGAAACTCAGTTTATTGTTTTTAAGACATGTCTTGCTATCTATCTAGCTATCTATCATCTGCCTTTCTTAAGATATAATGATTTCACAATTAAACTTTGAAAAATTAAATGTCAGAGATAGACTATGTAGTCTAGAAAGTTGACTAGTGGTTGCTTAAGGCTGAGGGGAATGCAGACATAGGGTAGTGATAGCTAAGGGGTACAGGCTTTCTTTTTGAGATGATGGCTGTAAATATCTACAAATATACCAAACACCATTGAGCTGTACATTTTCAATGAGTTAATTTTATGGAATGTGAATTATATTTCAATAAAGCTATTGAAAATAGTATATTAGATGGTGAAGAAGTATTGTGAAGAAAAGTGAAACAGGAACGAAAGGGAATATCTCTTGCAGGAGTGTTGAAATTTCAAATAAGGTTTTCAGGGAAGGATTGAGAGAGGTAAGGTGGTGATACATTCGGAAACTTGTTAAAGAACATTCCAGGCATAGTGAGTAATAAGTGGGAGATCCTAGGGAAGGCATAGCAAAGACACTGAAATGGAGTGTGCAAAGGAGAAAGCAATTGCAGTCAGAGTGGTAACTGGAATGCAGACCATGTAGAGCCTTGTGAGCTTTTTTTTTTTTCCAGGTATGCAAAAAGATATTATTATTTTACTTTTTTTTTCTTTTTTTCTTATACTTTATGTTCTAGGGTACATGTGCACAACATGTGCCATGTTGGTGTGCTGCACCCATTAACTCGTCATTTATATTAGTTATTTCTCCTAATACTATCCCTCCCCCATCCCCACACTCCATGACAGGCCCTGGTGTGTGATGTTCCCTGCCCTGTGTCCAAATGTTCTCATTGTTCAATTTCCACCTATGAGTGAGAACATGTGGTGTTTGGTTTTCTGTCTTTGCAATAGTTTGCTGAGAATGATGGTTTCCAGCTTCATCCATGTCCCTACAAAGGACGTGAACTCATCCTTTTTTATGGATGTATAGTATTCCATGGTGTATATGTGCTACATTTTCTTAATCCAGTCTATCACTGATGGACATTTGGGTTGGTTCCAAGTCTTTGCTATTGTGAATAGTGCCACAATAAACATACGTGTGCATGTGTCTTTATAGTAGAATGATTTATAATCCTTTGGGTATATACCCAGTATTGGGATTGCTGGGTCAAATGGCATTTCTAGTTTTAGATCCTTTTAAAGATGTTTGCTCTTTCCAGAAGCACATTGGAAAACCATCACAGGGGGCTGAAGAAGAGTAACAGAATCTGTTTAATGTTTTAACAAGATCATCCTGGTTGCTGGATGAACAATACATGAAAGGACAATAAAGAGAGAAGGATGAAGGCCAGGTGGAGATTGCATCAGTTAGATTTTGCTATATGAGACATAACCAGAAAACTCCAGTGGTATACAGTGATAAGCTTTTATTTTCATGCTTAGAGTTTCTGCTGATCTAGGGTGGCTCTGCTGCTCTCAGGTGGATTTGTTCATGAGTCTAAGGGTTGTATGGGGGTTTGCTGACCTAGGCTGGGCCCACATTTGAAGTCATGAAAAGTGTGCCTTTGATCTCCATGTGGCTTGGCCACAACATTTTTGAGGCACCCTTCTCTGACTTGGGCAAATTTTTATTCCCGTATTATAAATGAGTTAACAAGTTCTGAAACATTAAGTGGCTTGCCTACATTAAGCTTCTAGCAAATTGAAAAGCTGCTTCTTGGATGAAGATCTCAACTTCAAATCCTCTACAAAATGCTTCTCCTAATGTCTAATGCCATTGAGATACATAGAGGAATGTTATTTAATATGTGCAATAATTTTTTGAGATAGGTATTACTACTCCATTTTATCAGTAAGGAAACGAAGACCAAGAAAGAGTAGGAAAACTGTACTGATTCACACAGCATATTAGAAGCAAAGTCAAAACTCAAATTCAAATTTCATTGCCTTTTTTTTTTTTTAAAGCATGCCACTGCTATCTAATAAAGATCACATTTATCTAAGCTTGCAAGGATCCAGGAACTCTCCCAATGATAAACTTAAACCAAAGCCTACATTTTCCCTATCTACTCCCCACTCCCACCCCAGGCCACTGGGCTCCTTTTAGAACCTGCACAGAAGTGTCTCCTAATCTTGGGGGAAATTTAAACTGTCTACTAAAGAAATCACTAGATGTCTACATTTCCTGATCTTAAAAGTTTGCTGTTATTCTGTCATGAAACAGAAAGTGAAGCAACTATAGTTCTCTCTTCTCAAAACAGAAGGATTAGGATTTCCTTTCTGTTGTCTGAGTTCTGGGGCTTGCCTTTGGCTATAATTGATTTTTCTCTCCACTTAGACTCAGCCTTACTTCCCTTCTCAACGGTAGCACTTATTCTTTCCCAACACAGTCAGAGAACTTGTATCTCCACAGGCTGCTAATATAATTCCAATTTCCACCCCATCTCAAACACAAATTACTTCTGGTGATTCTTTTTAAGCAAGTTCTGACACCTGATGTGTTATCTCATTTTTAAAAATTGTAAGTGGCCATGCTAAGGAGCCAAAAATGATGAAACCTAGGAATGCAGAAACAGAACTTAGTGTTGTAATAAAAAATATGATTTACAACATCTTGTTTGGTATGCATGTAATGATATGTACAGTCATTACTGTGGTACATTGTTATTAGACACAAAATGGTATGCATTGTACTTAGGTGACTATTATTTCCATCAGTTTTATACATGGTCTTCCTTATGGTTTACTTATTCTTACTCAAAACACACAAGGCATCTCTTTTATCTTTCTCATGCACCAAGCAGGGTAAATAGCTGATGTCTTGTGAATGTAGAGAACAGCCAGGGTACTCCAAGACTTTTCTTCCTCTTTCTTGCCTTTCTTCCAGTGTGGCCAAATGAATGCTCTGTTTCCTGTCTCAGGTGATTTCCATTTGACCCTGATGTTCCCTTTCTACTATGTGCTTATTCCTTGCCCTCAGCCAATGTTTCCCTGAGCAGCCCTCCTCTTTTTCTATTGCTTCATCAGCTGGACCTGTTCTAGATCAATGTGATGCCAACCAGTGCCAGGGTCCTTGGGTCAGTAGGCTGTGCCTGATATCAGGTTCTCTCTAGAACTGAAGGGACGAATATATTGTGATTATTGTTGCCTAAGAGACTATCCAAAATTTTAAAAATATACTCAACAAATACAGTCAGGTACTCAAAACCTTCAGAGCAAAGGAAGCCTGCTTACCTAAATTTTGGTTACAAAGGAGCTACATATGTTATAATGGAGTTTCAGAAATATGACAAGGGAATTTTTAGCTTAAGTGTCTCTTCAGGGCTTTGCTGAAGAACAGAAACCTAGTGTGTTTTGTTCCCTTGGCTGTCTGGTTTTCTTCAAAGGGGTCTCCAAGAAGGTTCCTATCCTGCCCAGACGTCTCTCCATTCCCATAAACAATGCTGCTGTCTGTGCTGCTCCAAGCTCAGCACTAGGAGCCCTCCCCAAGGCCCAGCCTTAGTTCAGACTGAGGAGAGCCTCTGCTACCCCAGCTTGTGGAGTTAGGAGGGGCATGTGAATGGGGTTCCCTTGAGAACAGAGATGAGGTCACAGGAGCTACGTTTATCCCTCTTCCACCATGGTAATCCCTAAATAATGTTTATAATTGCTCACTCTACAGTTGCTCCCTGGTAGTACGGTAGATACTCTGAGGCTAAAATAAAACAAACCCTGTCAACAGACTAGGCCCTTTTGATCAGTCGGAAATGCTCAGTACTACAGAAGCAGACCTCATCTCTATACCAACTGAGTTGTTTCCATAAGACTGATCCTGTCTCCTGGAGATGGCTAGTATCCAGTCCCCCAGTGCAGAAGAAAGAAGCTCAGTTTCTCAAATGGGCAAGGACCGCTGCTGGTAGACAGATAGGTAAGTAAAAGGATCACTGGCCAGATGACCTGTGTGGATTCAAAAAGAGTTGCAAGTATGGTTCTTGTCACAGGGAACTGTGATCATTTGGCATTCTTCTCACAGATCCTGCGGTAGCGGATGTCACATGATGCAGCATCAAATGTCTTTGTTAGGCCAATGGTCGCACAGTTGAAATTCTGATTCTGATTGGTAACACTAAATGAGAAAACAAAACAAAACAAAACAAACAAACAAAAAAACAAAGCATGGTAATAGCCCATCATTTTAGCCCAGGCTCTTCTGATTCCAGAGTGAGAGTCTTGCAGGAATTTTGCCTGGAGGGGCAGCAGACTACCGGGCCCACACAGGCCTCCATTTGGGAAGCCTCCTTTTTAGCTCAGATCCCTCTCCTAATCCAGCTCCACAAATGCAGCTGTAAACCGACCCTTTCCTGTCAGCTCTTCTGCGAGCTTGTATGGATTCACAGTCTTAGACTAACTCACTCACTGTGGCGTTCGGTTAGAAGCATCTCATGGACTGTCTCTTCTTCCAAAAGTACTGTTTAGGACAGTACATGTGTTCACAGCGGGAGGACAGGAAGGAAAAGGAGAGAGGTTGTGCATCCCTTTCCAGACCATAGTGGCTTCAGAAAAACTTGGTGGAGGTATGTGTTGGCTCTCCCACCTCTTTTTCTGTCATTCAGTCTGTTTCAGTCTGACTGAAAAGACTCTGGTTTCAGAGAAATGTCATGTGTTTTGGACTAGCTGTATGATATTTAACACATTTCTAAGTTTTTCTTGTCCTCAGTTCAACTGTCTGTGAAATGGGGAGTGATAAAAGCTTTTCATGTAGCATCATGGGGAATATTTCAGGAAACAACATATGCAAAGTGTTTAGCATAGTGCTGGCATTAGCAGACACTGAATAAATATCAATTTCCTCCTCTCTGTAGGGAAGCCCAGTTACAGGCTGGGGGACTGACTTGACCTCTGTTTGAATCACTACTTTCGTACAAACACTGGGAAAATTATTGGTGTTCTCACCAATCCTAATCTCCATGGAACAATTCACAGGAGATAGCTCTTGGGGGTCAGAAGTTCATAGCTTTGAGGCATAGACACGTTGCTTATAATAACCTTTATTTAGATAAAGAAGGCACATCTGGGGAAACTTGTAGGTACTTTGTAATAAAATGTGATCTGTGGGTTAAAAGATGAAGCCCTTTTGATCAGTCAGAAATGCTAGGTGTTATAGAAATAGATCTCATCTCTATACCAACTGGGTTGCCTCCATAAAACTGACCATGTCTCCTTGAGATAGCTAGCATCCAGTCTAGACTCATATCTAGTCTGTTTGAAGTCAAGAAACTAAGCTTTTTTGATCAGTCAGAAATGCTCAGTGCTATACAAACTAGCATCTAAAGAGAGCTACACGATACATCAAATGAGTGCTATGTATGTGGATTTGTTTGGATCCTGATTTGAATAAAATAATTTGCTATATGAATACTCTTCTCTCTCCTTATGAAAGTTTGATCTCTTTCATAAGAAAAAGTTTATTAAAATGTGTCTCAGGGAATGGATGGGTTGGAAGAAAGGAGGAGAGCAGAACAGAGTCAAGCGTCAGCATTTGAGCTATTCCAGAGTGAACCCACCAATCTCAGGTTTGGTCTTTTGAAGCAAACCAAGATCCCCAGGAAACTGTGGGATGTTCACGTACTTGCCATTGAACACAGAGTTGTTGATCCA